GGAGGAGGAGGAGGGAGGAGGGAGGGAGAGGAACAGGAGAAAAAGAACTAACTAGACTAACGTTGTTATTATTGGAGGAAGAAAAGGAGAAGGAGGAAGAAGAAGAGAAGGATAAGGAGGAGGAGGAGGAGGAAACGGAAGAAGAGAAGGAGAAGAAGGGGCAGGAGGAGGAAGAGGAGGAGGAGGAGGAGGAGGAGGAGGAGGAGGAGGAGGAGGAGGAGGAGGGAGGGGGGAGGGGAAGGAGGAGGAGGAAGGAGCAGCAGAAAAGGAAGAATAAGTTTTTGGATTTCTTTAAGGCACTGCAATTCCTGGTGGTGTTATTAGTGTTAATGACTAGCGTTGGTATTGGTATTTCAGGGATGATACTGGTGGCGGCTTCCGGTATTATTGTTAGTGGTTAATCAGTGCCAATCATAATTAATATCTAAGGTACCAGCAACACCATATAGGCAGTATCATCGTGATATTGGTAGCATCGGTATTATAGCAGATTATCGCCATAGTAATGTGGGCATTTGTAGGCCTAGGTTAGCCTAGCCAGATGCTAATGATTCTCAACAGTGAGAATGGATACATATTTTTTACGTTTGGAACTCCAAGGTTAATGAGTTATACATGTACAATTGGCATAAAGAGTTTGAAAAAGCCACCATGTATTTCCTTCATTTCGGAGTAATGAACTTAAATAAAAATAATGCATTTATATAAGTTTTGAGTTGGGAGTGTATGCTGTTTTACTTGTAAACGCATGTGTGTACCAGTTTTACTCGTTTATTTGTATGTTGCTTGTTTAAATCGTTCATTTGTTTTATTTATTCTTTTATTAGATTTTGCATCGATTAATACAGCATTAGTTTGTGTTCTCTTAGCTGCCGTCGGGTTCATTACTTAATACTCCTCAGTATGTAAGGGCGTACTCTTCAGCATTTTTTCCCACGAGATATAAGTTAAGTATTAGAGCATTGCTGATGTCTATTAAAGCACTTTTCCTAACTGGCGCGGGAATAACTATGCTGAACAACATCACGGGTACGTGGCTCGGGGTTTGATTGGCTTTTCGGCCTTGCTAAAAGAAGTGTTTGTCCGTCCTTGGGTGGGTTCAGGTTGAACTGTTATTTATGTGTATGTTCTATGAATGCATCAAATAAAGGTTATATGTATTATGTAAATGTTTTAGTTACCCTGCACAGTGATACCTCAATATTTTTAACTAAAAGAGAAAATAATGAATGTCTTAATTAATCAAAAATTAAAATAAGTGAAAAGAAATTTGTTTGAAATTTTAAAACAAAGGAAAGTACTAGACATGGAAAAAGCACCAAAGAGAGTGTATGCAGAAAGGCGATATCTGTTAGGCACTAAAGTTCCCTATTATAAGAGAGAAGAGGGTATAGCTGCCAGTCAACGTATGTATTATTTATATATAAAGCTGTGAAAACTGAAATTCATCCAATGCAACACACATACCATTTGTACTTGATTCAAAATTATACAATCTTTCGCATATGTAAACGATATAAGTTTTAATGAGATATTACGTACAAAATAACATGAACCAAATTGGATTTCTTAAGTCTCCCCACACGTTCTTTAGCTCGACTTTGCACGTCATTACTTAGTAAAAGGTTATCATTTGAGACCCGAATCTTACGCTATTTCCTTTTAATTATGCACAAAATGAGAGGCTGATATGTTCGATACATGTATTCTCATACTTTGTGCACATCCATTGCACGAAGCGACAGGTCCTGAACATGAGATATCTTATCTTCGACAAGTTTGTCACACCTCACCATGCATGACGCAGATATGATCGATCATATTTTCGACGCGTTCTTGCCATGCAGAAATCGTCGAAGAGATGTTTTACAATGATCATATATATATAAGGTGGCAAAAGTTCGCAATATACCATTATTCACATATACATCAATCTACTGTCATATGTGCTTCTGCCGTTAGCAATTACCACAAAAAGTCTGATATTGTTGAATACCACAAAGTACTGCAAGCAAAGTCAAAATGTCAACACAGCAGACATTCACCGTGAGGGCGACATTCTTCAGAATTGCTTTGATCTTTTGTCTAGCTTCACTGTTGGCTTCACTGCCAACCCGTGACACTGCATCGTCTCAAGCTGTCATTGTCAATAGCACTTCCGTTGGCATTGGCTTTCTGCAGGACACTTTCCTCTTCTGCAAGTCTCACGTGGAGGACACAGGCAGCCTTCACCTGTACCATGTGATGTGGCAAGACTTCAAAGGGGATCCAATCCCGTCGTGGTCGAAGGAGGCAATGGTGTTCGGCCTGGGAAGGGGTTACCACGTGCCTCACTCCTACCTGGTGTTCCACGACTTTTCCGGCGAGGACGCGGGACACTACAGCTGCGCACTGTACCTGCAAGGCAACAAAATCCATTCCTCAACCGTCCCTATTACTCTTTCAGATGAAGATACGTAGGTCTGGAGACGTCGGAATAGCATATTACAGAAGTTCTGAGTGAGAACAAAAATATAGAATATAAATATTTTATCGTCAAATAATAAATGCGAATATATTTTTAATATTTGGTTTCCCTTCCCTAAATAACCAGTAAAACGAAAGAGTATGATGTGTATGAAATTATAAGATGAGTTTTAGGTTATAGGAATAATATATAGTGATAGATGTATATTTCTAAGTATATATGTATAATAAAAATAAACAATGCACTATTCAAAACGTAGACATATCCATAAAGAAATGGACACATGTATTGTTTATATGTATTCTCCATATAAATACTTTAGCTTTTAAATGCTGCCAACGCATATACATATATGACACATAGAGTTAACAACACATATATATACATACATACATATTCAAATCTCGTCTTTGCACTCCATGACAACTTTATGAATCTTACTTGCACAGATTCGGTGTTGCAAAAATCGTGTTTCACATTTGTAATATGTTGTATAAGGTATTCCCATGCACTGTGCATATCCAGTATATGTAGCGGCAGACCTTGAGCTTCAGACCCTAATGTTTCACAAGATCTTGCATCTCACGAATGAAGCAGAGTCGTAAAAACGTGTTACACTATATTATTCCCAAGCACTCATAAAATAAAGGTTCACTTGCAAGTGCTACATTCTTGGTAAGTATCTAATAACAACAGAAGGCGACTGTTGGCAACATCACTCAAAATTCATTTTTAGTCAATTTGAAAGAGACTGAAGGAATTTACATACAATTCTTCGTCCTTTATATCGACATCACCAAGCATTTATGTGTTTAAATATTAGATCCAATGCTGTATGATGAAAGCCCCGCGGAGACGCAGCGTCAGTAGGAAGCCACTCACATGGCGATTTTCAATGCATGTTCATAGTTTTTTTTAACACTTTCTTATTGGATTTGTTACTACTTGTATCGGAACAAACCTTTAAGATGACAGCCACTAAAACATTTCAAAACAAAAGAAAAAAGATCCTTAAAACAATATATCAAACAAGCTTGAAATCTAGGGGATGCTACCAATTTTGGGGGTAACCCCCTAACCCTGAGCACCACTTTGAATAACGTATTTATGACTGGCATAACGATTACACAGTAACGAGTGTTGATAAATTATCTATGGACATTACGAAAATGGTCACTGATTACTACAACACCTGGGTCTGTCCAAAGAAAATCTTCAAGAGCAGCATCTCACAACTCTCCAGACAACCTACGTGAGTCGGTGACCCTACACTATTAAGGGAACAAAGGCTAGTTCAGGAGCTTTTTGATATCTACAAGCACGACAATACCCGCGACAACCTTATTCAGTTTCCTAACGCTAACAAAAATCTACGGGAATTGAAAAGGCATTTCAGAAGTGAACACTTCGCCTAGCAAAGTCAGAATATGACAAACAAAGTGTGGATATAGACCTCGGGATACCTCTTTCTAGGATTTTATACATCATTAAAGCTTCCTTCAAAGAGGACTTGACTGAGTTGATTAATTCTCAACGCCCTGAAAGCTGTAGCATAAAGCCCTATGATCGGTTTAGGCAAGATTCATTCATCTATGGTTTATAAAAAACAAGAACAAGACAATGTGATGCTATGACCGCATATCAAATGTATTAATGCTTTTCTACGCCCAAGCTATATGCCGGCGTGGCAGATGAGTAGATAATGGACAGTGCAATTGTTCCTTTCGTTGAACTGATAATGCACATATCATAAAAATGTTATTGGCTAAAATTCAAGTGTAATACAACTAAGTAATGTTATGAATATGTATTAAATGTACCATAGC